TAATGCATTTGAGACGTTGTGTTTTCCTCAGTGCATAACTGACATGGCACATGTATATTTTTCGTCTGTAAATGTTAGAACGTCATGCAGATATATCCATTTTGCTGTCAGGAGTGAACGAGCGCTGCACGCTATACAGATGGAGCACAATCGATACATTTTGCTAAAATATTTGTTGTTGGACATTAAATGTGTCTTTTGTAGAATTTTAAACCTATACATATAAATGTATTTTTATGATAGCAGTAACTGTAAAGGGACTATTGTAACGGGTAAATCAAATATAAGCTAGTATACTAATTACTAAGCTCAAATGAGTTTCTTAGTTAAAATATAGTCATTTTCTTTAATATTTATATCATTTTTAATTCAATGATTTTAACTTTTAATTGAGCTATTTTAATGCTTTAAAGATCTGTTCTGCAAACTGTAAAAGGTACATCTGTCATAAAACCAGAGAGAAAGGCTGCATGGCTAGAAACTGTAAAAAAAAAAAAGTCAAATCATAGTATGTTTGAGAGTCAGAGCTTGATCTAGGCCTATGTTAAATTAGCTTTATGGAACCAAATCATTTGACAATTAATCACTGAAAATAAGCATGGCTTATTTGGTAAACTTGTTTTATGAAACAGGCTGTGATTATATTTTTTCCATTGCATCGCATTGTGTTGAATCGAATCAAATCAAAATTGGATCGCACTGTATCGTAACGGGTGAATCGTTCCGTATCGCATCGCATCAGTAGCTGCTTCATATGTATCTTTAATGTACCGTATCATTGGCTATGCATCGAGATGCGTATCGCATCGGCTTCATTATGGAGATGCACATCCCTAATATTTAATATACTGTATAATAAATACTCTTACTGTATGGCAACAATGGACTCATTTGGAGCTGTTTATAATAGAGAAATATTGACATGTCACTGCTGTATGGTGATGAACCTCTCTGGACGTATGGAAGAGAAACCGTAATGAAGAGCTGGTGTTTGGCTCCTCATGAGAGACGCTCTGTCAGTCTGATCCGTCTTGACGTGCCGGCGATATTTCATTCAGTGTCAACTCTGGGCTCTTTCTAGAGCAGCTCAACATGAAAGTCAAATCAAGTTTAATTATCCAGCCTCGGTCCGAATAAACAGCAGAGTGGAGAATATGCCTGGAGAAAGGCCTTCACATGTAATTGGTGATGGCTTGAAAATTCAGCCACAAGTGAAAGAATCCAGTCAGAAATGAAATAGGAAGGTAATTATGCAAAGAAGTTTCTTATAGAGGAAAAAGAAAACTCTAGTTTAGTTATTAATATTCTGAATTTATTTGAATATATTGTAGTATTTGTTATATTTTCCAGTTTAAATTTAGTTTTAGCAATTGTGTTGTGTGGTTTTGTCAGTTTTATTATTTTTATATATTTGTACATAGATTTATAACATTTTTATTGAATCAGTTATTTTAGTACATCAAGTTAAACTATGAGTATTGCCTTGGTAACTAGCTTAAATTGTTGTTGTTATTATTATTATTATTATTATTTTATATTACAAATTTTATTCCAGTTACCGTTTATTTAAGTAATGATTTTGTTTAAGTAATGATTTTTTTTTAAATTGACTATTTAATGGAAAACTTTAATAACCCTGCTAGTGTGTTGTTATTACTTATTATATTATGTTTTATTATTTATCATTATTTTGTATTTTTATTATATATATATATACATATTTATGTTTGTGCATGTTTTCATATGTTATAATATGTTTATTTTATTTTATTAAGTTCATGTTAAGTAATTTTTTTTTTATAGTTTTAGTTAACTAATAACTCTGTCAGTTGTGTTGCTGTAGTTGGATGCAAACTGTAAGAAATCAAAAGTCTTCAAGTTGCATTTTTACCTCTTCAAGTTTAGTTTCTGACTTTTTAAAACAAACCTAAAATGCCCTGAACATTACATCTAGAAGCAAGGTCAGAAACGACTCAAAAAAATCTATATCCCCATCTTGAGCATCCTGCAGCTACTGTGAAGCACCTGTACTGATGTGTTTTGCAGAAAAATATTATTTTGATTTGATATGAGGAGATTTATAAGCTTACCTACTTTGCACTGACTATTTGCATCCGAGAGATTCATGCATGTCATGCATAATATTACAGTAATACTGATATGACTTATGGGATTTTGCAGTTGAAGTGAGCATTGCACAAATATGATGCACACTAAGTCTGCACATTTTGAAGACTATAAACTGTGGACTTAACAAGCTGAATTTTATGGGTTCCCAGCAGCATTTGCAGCCATTTCTGCCATAGACACTGGGGGGGAAGTTTTCTCCAGTAATTAGAAATGGCCAAATTGTCCCTCCAGTGTTTGAAAATCTTGCACTGATCTGCTTCACTCTTTACACAGCGCTCTGTTTGCTGATAGGATGACAAAAAGATTTAAAAGTTAAATTTTTAGGCAGATCTGCCTCAAAAGTCTAACAGTGCTCATCAATGTCAGAATTATTGAGATGGCCAAACATATCAAAGTAGGCGGGGCTTACTGTCAGCAGGAAGTGTCAGTTTCAACTGAGAAATCAAAATTCCCTTGATCTTTTTACATAATAAGAGGTCATTGTACTATAAAAACATCCTGTAAGTTTCAGAACTCAAAACTTTCTCATTAGTCTACAATCATCTTATATTGAAGCCAATCTGCCGAAACGACAGATTGTGGAATGTGCCGCTCTATGATGTAATAGTGTGGCTAAACTCCGCCTCCGCAGGAGAAGACCAATGCCTGTTTAGCCCCGCCCACCGATTCACGCATCTAGTGTAAATAATGAGAGAGGCAAACGCAGGTCTACACAGAAACTAAATGATAAAGATGAATCCGAAGACAACAAGACGCTGTTCAGAGCCAAGTTGTGGGAAAAACACAGTCTTTGCATTGCCTTCCTTCTGATCCCAACATTAAGAAAGAGTGATTAGTGGATGAACTTTATTTTTAATGAAGATCTAGACCTCGTCAGTAAGAACTTGGTCCTTTGTCCACTTCATTTCACCGTGGATGCGTTTACAAACAAGGCACAATTCGATGCAGGATTTTCAGAAAGATTGAAACTAAAAGACGATGCTGTGCGACTATATCGGATCCGACAGTAATGTCGCACCACACGAGTGTGAGTAACTGTTTTTCTTATGTGCTCACTATTGCTTTATCTGTTATTACAGATCGTTTGATATGAACTGAGTATTTATGCGTTTTTAACTTAAATCACTGCAGCATCCATCTGTGAAGAATGTAGCTGTTAAACATACACAACTGTTAGCCAATCAGATCAGTGGGCGTTTACTTCCGAGTCTACAATCCGCCACAGCTATTCACACAGAGCGTTCTGATGAGGGTCAAAACAGGACAGAAAATAGCCTTTTACTGCTAAATTATGATGTTTTTTTGATGTAAAAATACTGATGATGTTATAAGTGGACCTCAGAGAACAGTACAAAATAATTTTAAAAAGGCAGTTCATGACCCCTTTAAAATATTATTTGCTAATAATTCAAAATTATTACTTCCAAACTATATATATATATATATATATATACAGTGTTTAAGACATGGTTATGGACTTGCCACAGAAAATAAAAAAGGTAATTATGACTTTTTACCTATTTTACTGATTTTTTACTTGAGTTTTTATCTCACAATTCAGACTTTTTTTTCTCGCAATTCTGACAAACTGTGATATAATAATTCTGAGAAGAAAAGTTCAAATTTTGAGATATAAATTTGCAATTGCAAGAAAAAAAGTTGGAATTGTCGCAGTTACCTTTCTACATTTTTATTCTAAGGTGGCAACAAAAAAAATTAATTGCGAGATGTAAACTCTGAATTCTAATTTTTAAAAAAAGTCACAATTGAGACAAAAAAAGTCAAAATCTGAGTTTATGTCTTGCAATTATTTATAAATCGTTTATATAAACAAAATCCAAATTGTGAAATAAGAAGCTGCAATTACTTTTCAAATTTTTTTTTTATTCTGTTGTGGGGAAAATAAATTATTGTGAGATATAAACTCAGTCAGAATTTTGAAAAATTCTGTGTTTATATCTCACAGTTCTGTTTTTCTTTGTTTCTGCCACAGAATAAGAAATAAAAAAGGTAATTGTAAGTTTTTATCTCACAATTTGTACTTAGTTTCTTACAATTCTTAAAAAAAAATCCGAATTGCAATGTATAAACTCAGAATTGTGAGGAAAAATCATATTTCTGAGATAAAAATGTGCTTTTATTTATTTATTTGAATTCTGTGGCTGAAATGCACTTTCATAGCTTTCAAAGTCTGTAACTATGTGTATACAGTGACAGAAACGTTCATCTGCTGTAGACTTTCATCATCTCTCTGCCAAATTCTCCTGGTGCGCGTGTGAATATGCATGAAAAATGTCACACATTTATGTAAAGCAACTGTAATCCTCATTCATTTGTAAAATACTGCAGGATCACGTTTAGCCGGAGTTATTATCAGCCGGGTCTGAGTGCCGCGGATGCTTTTGGATCGTGGCCTGCGGCTGTCAGAATTGCAATGTATAAACTCAGAATTGTGAGGAAAAAGTCATATTTCTGAGATAAAAATGTGCTTTTATTTATTTATTTGAATTCTGTGGCTGAAATGCACTTTCATAGCTTTCAAAGTCTGTAACTATGTGTATACAGTGACAGAAACGTTCATCTGCTGTAGACTTTCATCATCTCTCTGCCAAATTCTCCTGGTGCGCGTGTGAATATGCATGAAAAATGTCACACATTTTTGTAAAGCAACTGTAATCCTCATTCATTTGTAAAATACTGCAGGATCACGTTTAGCCGGAGTTATTATCAGCCGGGTCTGAGTGCCGCGGATGCTTTTGGATCGTGGCCTGCGGCTGTTGCAGGGCCGCTGGCGCTGTGATCAAAGGGCACTAAAACGAGATGTTTCTGCTCTGGCCTCTGACTCTCTCCCTCTCATTTATTCCGTCCAGGCCCCGTCGTCGCCCTCCTCACCTTCGGCTAATGAACCGAAGTATGAGAAGCGCTGGCTGGATGCCGTCAGCCTCCCTCTGTTCATGGCTCGAATCTCTCGACGCAAAGCTGGAACTGACAAATTAAGGTACGGTAATCTGCCGTGATGCGGCTCGAGCTGCAAGGTTTGCCCAGTGTTGGTTTTGCAAGCGTTTTTCATTTAGGTGCTACGATGTTAAATCCAATATCTATGCAGCGGCATGCCGTGTCTGGAAAGGTCAGCGATGCAGCAGCAGCAGGTCGAGAAGAAGTGGCTCTAACTTGAGTCATCTGCCATTGAAATCAGAATGATATCGCATCATGTCGGCGGAGAAAGATCTATAAATATGCACTTTAAAACTCAAAGCTCGTGATTGCAGCAGGTGGAAAGCAGATCCTTAATTAGGCAGAATGCATAATCTGAATATATTTCGATGTGCCTCGGGCTCGATTCCAGGTGGAGTTTCAGGTCTGACAACTTTGATTTTAACCCTGTAAAACCTACTGTACATGCCTTCTGTCGTCTGATTGATAGTTTAGACTTTTTATCCAGTAAAAACTCTTTTAGTGTAATTGTACAAACGTCCAGCTTCAGCTGGAGCTTCACGTGTCTTTCTGCTGTCAAATCTTGACTGATTTTGATCAAGTAAAGGTCAGAATAACTGCAGTAATATCTCCAGATGAACACTTACTGCACTGAAGCAGCTCAGCTTTACTTGATTCTCCATCAATCATGTTTTAGAGTCTCAAATCTGATCCTCAGGATCTTTTGAGGAGCGTTTGTTTCCAGAAGCTTTACTTTCACTGTTCCTCAGCGGAGGAATGATCTTCACAAGCCTCCAGAACATCTCACGGTTATTTCTTCATCTCTCAATCACTGCATTATATGTTCGGATCATTTCAATCTCATCTTACTGAGACAGATTATTGGAGATATAGAGCGACGACTGAGAATTATATCATTTTATGTCAGTATCTGCTCTACTGTTATAAAGATCTCATTGATTTACATCACAAGCAGCAGAATTGCATCATATAAATATCAGCATCAACATCAAATAATTTGAGTCTCTGAATAAAATGTAGCTGTTTTTTTGGCCTGCATATTCTCACTATATCAGACTATATGAACCATAAAAACCCGATAGATCAAATATGATACAAAACATAAACACATATGTAAACTTATTATATATGTAAACATTTTTCGTAATACAAGAGGAGAAAAAATGGGGAAAACATGCCACTGATGCATATAGGCCATTCTAAATTATATTTGTGTTGTTTTATTTTTGCATTGAAATGTCAAAAAACAATAGTGTTGAATTTGATTTAAAGTTAGTTAAAGAAATTATTTACATTTTTGTTTATTTATTAGTATTATTTTTTTTATTTAATGCATTTTAAAATAACATAATTTGATTTAATGCATTATTTACTTTTGGCCCACAGCTCTCATTCAGGTTTGATTTTTAGCTCTTCGTATTAAGAGGAAAAGAGGAGGAAAAATATGGCATTGAAGCATATCTTCTAATTCATATTTTTGTTTTATTTTTGCATTGAAATGTCAAAAAAACATTTGGATTGAATTTGTTTAAAAAATAATTTAGAATAAAAAAGTATTACTTGTTTTTTTTTTTTTTGGATGTATTTTAATATAACAATAATTGGATAAAATGCAACATTTACTTTTGACCCACGGCCCTCAATCAAGTTTGATGATTAGCCTTTCATATTAAAAACATCTTCTGCACTTTTTGGTCTAAAGATTCAATAAACTGTTTCATTTCTCAAAAAAAAAAAAAATATATATATATATATATATATAAAAATTGACTAAAATTTCATATGCCAGGCTTTACAGTGTTAAGTATGTTGTGCTTTTGATCTCTAAGTAGTTATTGATTTGTTTTTCCGTCCATCAACTATACTTTTTCTATCAAGCAGAACTTTTCACTGAATACGACTCCTCGAGTGATATTTTTGGTGCGACTGAATGCATTTTTAAGCTTTTAACATCTAAGAGTCCATCTTTCATGAAGGATTTTCAGCTTTTTATCATTTTAATACTCCGTTTTCACATCCCAGTACCATTCCCACCGAATGTAAGACGCTCCCAGAAGCCGAAAGCATCTTCAGTCTCTCGTCCTTTCCTCTCGCTGCTCTTTCGTCTTCGTTGTGAGCCTCTCTCTGTGTATGCGATGGCCGATGAAGACGCGCGCTCACCAGACTAATAGATTTTTTATTGTGTCCTGTCAGTCACTCAAAAAAAGCTCAGCTACAGTCTGCTGCTAGTTCAAGCAGAACATTACAGTCTCCAGGCAATTTCTATCTGAAAAAGGCCCAGCGCTGAATGGACGCATCTCACACATGGTTGGCATTAATTGAAATCATGCGATTTATTGAATTGCTTTATTGGAAAAGTTGGAAGCTGCTAAAGATGCCGTGTTTTGCTTCTGTAATCTCACTTCAATAACAGTGTTAGTCTTGCTCTCACTTGATTTAATGCTTTAGAAATGTTCATCTCACGGCCTTTTGCCCTCTGTAGCCCCTCATAAGCACAATAATCTGCATTGAGGAGGCCAGAATGGAAAGGACTGCTGAAGCGTCACACAGAATAGGTTTTGAGGCGACAGTCTTTCTGACAGCTATCATTAACTAGTCAGTCCGGCAAATCAGAGTGTAATTCATCTGTGGCACGCTCCAAACACGCTGAAATGACATGCCAAAGCCGCCCATTACAGACAATTGATGGTGGAGTGAGTGTGCCAAACCTGTCATCAACGAATGCATCTCATCCCTCAGAATCTGAATTGATAGCTTTGAACATTTTAAACAAACTCAAATAAGCAGGTAGCAAAATCTGAACTAACAAATGTGTTTGAGGTCAGTCTTTTGATATTGCTGGGAGATTTGATTGCAATCTGGTTTTGTGGCCTGGATTGATTGATTGATTTGAATTTCTAATGGGAATACATTCCATCTTTATTACAATTGTACACTTCACAGATCTACTGTACAATTTAAAAAACACTTCATTCGTTCGTTCATTCATCTATCAGTTTTGACGTTGCTATTGCTGTTTGTTTTTATGACCTATTTATTAGTTTTGATATTGCTATGAAATTTGTGTACCGTCTGATAGAGTGTATTTGTATGCACTCTATCCATCCATCAGTGTTGATGTGTTGCTATGATATTTGTATACAGTCTGGTTTTATTACCTATCTATTAATTCATTTACATTTCATATGGATCATCATCTGGGAATTTCTACTGGAAATACATTAATGTAACGCAATAAAAAACAGTACTGTAAAATAGTAATGTACAATTCACAGATGCACTTTACAATTTAAAAGTTATTTTATTTTATTACAATTGTATTATCATTAGTGGTTGTAATATATAATTAGTAGTGTATGATGAATATTATTTATTTATGTATTTATTTATTTTGCACTAAAGTGTGTTATTGAGAATTGGAGGGAAAGTGTACATTTGCTTAATTGCTTTTAAAGTAATACCAAAATGCAAAGTATTAATGTTTTAAAATGTATATTTATTTATTTATTTTGTTTCAATGTTGTTGTGATTTTTTTTTTAATACAATCTGGTTTTATGTCATTATTTTTTTTTTAGTTTTCAAATGTAGCATCTTTAAAATTTCTACTGGAATACATTACTGTAATGCACATTTTCTATCATCTATCTACTTGGCTATTTTTTATTTTAATTTTTTTTATTATTCATGTGAATCATCTGTGAAAATGTACAGTAAGCCACCTGTAACCGAAAGCAATGATTCAATACTGTGCAAATCGTGACCACACTTATCGATTTGTCTCTGTTCATGCAATGTACAATATGTCTCTGATGTCTTATTCATTTCTTCATCAATAATAGAATAAATCTCTGTGGCGTTGAAGATTTGATCAGGAATCTTTTCGTTCCTGACACGAATCTTGCATCATGAACTAATTACTGCCAGAGTGTATTTTATCGCAGGGAGTCACTCCAGCAACAATGGCTCTGTTCACTATAGAGCACTAGTGTACGAGTGTGCCCTTAACAGGCAATATGGACTTTATTCAGCTGCATGCTGTTTTTTAAAAATAATTTGTGAAGCAGTAGACAATATACAACAATAAGTGTTTCAGCTAGAAGTGTGCTAATGTTGTCAGATTGACAATGAAAACAATTATGATTATTATTAATGCCTTTATTTTTTTATAATGTTTAATGTATTATTATTATTGTATATTCATGCTTTAATAATTTTTTTTACATTTGTATATTTAATACTTTTATAATTACACTTTTATTCATTTATTATTTTAATATATCATTAATATTCTATATTAATAATAATAATAATAACCAATCAATATAATCAATTAAATTAATAAATAATAAATTTAAAATAATACAAATAATAAATAAATCATTATTTGTATTTGTATTATTATTCATTATATTTATTATAGTATTATTCATTTTTATATTTAACTGAATGATGATGATGATCATATTAATAATAATAACAATTATTATTGCTAATGTATTTTAATGTATTACTATTAATGCATCATTATTAGTATTATTAGTGTATAACATTTTAATAATAATAATAATAATAATAATAATATTTTAATCTATATTAATATTATTATTATTCTTGTATTTAATTTAATAATAATAACAATAATGATAATAATAATAATAATAACCAATCAATATAATCAATTAAATTAATAAATAATACATTTAAAATAATAAATAAATCATTATTTGTATTTGTATTATTCATTCTATTTATTATAGTATTATTCATTTTCATATTT